AAAGAAGTGTAGGTCAGGGGACTGGCCTGAATCGACTGGTATCGCCGAAACAGGATAATTAGCCTGCCAATTTAATCTGGCGTATTCGGTTAGAGAACATTTTCACATAAAAATGTACCGCGTATGTCGAATGCGCCTGAATACAATTTGAATTTCTAAAACTTAACAAGGTAAAAACTAATGTCAGTAATCTTTAAAAGACAGCTGGGAGCAACAGAAGTCATTAACAAGATATCTAATTGTCTAAGTAAAGAAGTTGCTAAAGGGCAAGATGGAGATAAAACCTACTAACATATTCCCATCATGCAGACTATTTTTTCAAATTATTAAATAAATTCTCTTGTTGCACATAGTTATTGAACTAAAACTCTATTCAATACTGACCTATTCTGATAGGAGTAGTACTTTGCGTCTCTCGGTATTGTACAAAGCTGTTTGCCATAACAACACAGAACTTGTGGATTGAATGTGTATTTTCTTCCACAACAATATCCTAAGGCTTGCATTACAGGATCTATCTCTTGCTCGAAAACTTCAGAGAGCTAAAATCAACAGAGAAGTATTTGTAATTTGAATGCCACATCGATGATTATCGGTACGTAGAGACTCTGAAATAAATGTACCTTCGTACAATATCTGTAAACGCGCGAGGTTTTACGGTTGTAAAGCCACGCGTTATCAAACATCATCCACACATCGTCCACGTATTCCCACGGATCACTGTACTGCCCCGTGTCCAATTTTCTTTTGATCGTCGAAAGGTCCATTGGTTTTTTGACGATATCGAAATAATCTGGAATTCCCAATGCTTGAGGATCAACGGGTTGTCTAAACGGTATGGATTCTGGATCTTGGCGATAAAGCTTCTCCAACGTCGGCATCAGTGCTTGACGCAATTCGTCCGGCTTGAATAAACATAATCTCTTCTTGTCCGTCGATGTCCCACTTGGCTGTATCGGTTCAGGAACTAATGGCTTAATGTCTGGTGTTGTGTCTTGACTTGACATTGGCGTCACTGGTTCTTCCTTAATACCAGAAGATTCGTCCTTTACAATACCCTCGCTGGATCCTTCTTCCATCGGTTCTGTTTTTATTTCAGTTTTCATGGACACGTCGCTGTTCACACTTTTACCACCGTCCATTCTGTGATTATCAGAACCATCCTCTGTCTTGATCTCCATTTTCATGTTCTCTTCTTTTATGGAATCCAATTTTCCCTTATTGTTATTCATTGGTGGACTAGGAGAATTATCACGATCCAAGGCAGCTGTGATAGCAGCCATTTGCGAAGACATAGACGAAGTTCTTGGCGCGTTTAGTGCAGCCCTCTCCTGAGATGTCATGCCCTTACCAAGGCTTACAAGACCTGCAGGGGATGGTGTGGTAGCAGGATGAGGCGGCGTTTGATTAGCGGAAGAAACTGACTGATTTGGAGTCATTAATGAAGGAACGAGTGGTGTGTTAGGTGTGGAAGTTGTAGATTGAGGTCCATTAGCCGTTGTCGCTGGACCAGGACTAGGCCCACTAGAAGCGGGAGGTGGTATCGTTTGTGGTGTCGAGGTGCTAATGCCATTATCGTTAGGTGTTGGAACCGACAAAGGCCGACTACTGTTGAATTGGTTTTGCTGTTGGTTATTTTGTTGTTGCATACCGCTAAAAGGCGATGGTGCTTGTGGCATCGAGGTCGTCGTGCCGCTTTGATTCGAACTACTTGTCGGCTGTTGTGATTGCGATTGGCTTGGTGGTTGTTGCGGCTGAGGTTGTGACGGCTGCTGCTG